TTTTGAAAACTGTCCAAATAACATTAAAGCCATGCCTTAATTTATACCTTTAACTAAGATATGTTTAGCTAGGCGCCTTTTAAAACTGACTGAATAACATTAAAGTCATGCCTTAATTTATACCTTTAACTATGATATGTTAAGCAAAGGGCTTTTTAAAACTGACCAAATAACATTTAAAGCCATGTCTTAATTTATACCTTTAACCTTTAGGGCAAAAAAATAAGGGTTGACTTTTGTGCCATTTGATAAATAGGTGTTTTTATCTTTTAAAAACACCTTAAACAGTGCAAATAAATATAACAAATATCATCAAATGCCTTTAAATATGCTACAATCCATTAATTTATTTATGTGGTTCTTAATAGGGGAATTTATTTATTTATTTATTTATTTATTTATTTATTTTTGAGGGTGGTATTTAGGTATTTGAAATGTGTGTTTTTTTTAATTTATCTATTTGTGAATTTTGAAGGGTTTTAGCCATTAAAAATACATCAATCCACATTAAAAACCCTTTACTATAACACAATCAATTTCTTTATCAATTAAGTTCCTCCAAATCTGAGTGAACCTATGAAACATCTCAATGCTAAAAAGGGATTACTTAAACTAGTACTCATTCATGTATTGAATGTATGTTAACATTTAACGTCAAACACTTAATTATTTAATAACACCTTAAACTGGTAATACATAACAAATAAGAAGAAGAATATATATCCTGTGCAAATTAAGGGGAGCCTATCAATTCAAGTCCACTCAATTTGGTATGTGAGGGCTTTCGAAGTTAATGTCTTTAAGGGTTTTATTTTGAGCCTATATGCTCTAATTACACCTTAAATTGATAACTTGTGGTCATGTACCACTTGAAATGTTCTATAAGGGCATTTTAACTAAATGTGTTTTTAAGGGATTTACATCTTTACAAATTAAACATCAAAGGAATGGCTAGAGTAAACCAAAGACCTTGTTGTTGATCATAATTTTCTGATATCTAACAAATGACCATGATCCAGCGTAATAAAGTATCAGACGTACTGTACCTTTGGTCATGTCAGAGGAAACATGGGTCCTGTATGTTCTTCAGATGAGCATTATGTATGACATCCGTGAGGATTGGTGCTGCATTTATGTACTCTGTGATACTTGTACAAACTCATAGGTGACATTTGGACACCAGATGGTATGTCTCTGTCTTCCTTAGTCTTTCAGGATGAATCATATATGTTGTAGATGACATGAAGCTTCTTGTATTGTCTCTGCGGAAGTGACTCACTTCCACCTGTTACAGTTTGTGAGAAGACATACGGTGGCCCGCTGGAGTCATTTACTCACACTCATTAATAAGTAATTAGTCTCTTTGGAGCTGCTGTACAGCACCACAGACCTGCTCTCATCACTGCTGAGTCATGAAACTTCCTGTAATGACGCACGCGCACACACACACACACACACACACACACACACACACACACAAAAACATATGTGCAGAGATAATGAGGTAGCAGTTTTTCTGACTTCCTGTGAATGAGTGCAGCTTAATGTCTCTTTGCATTGTGTGAGTGTGTGTGTGTCAGGTGTTGCCTTGTGCACACCAAATGACCACCTCCATTCATGCGTTGGTCTTATAGTGCAGCCAGAGGCCCTCTGACAGTCACCATGGAAATGGAAAGGCCCACCGGCTGCCGCACAACAAAACAGGCCACCCCAAGGTGACCAGGGTCACCCAGAGGGGCTTCTGGGAACAAAGGCTCGGCACGCGCTCGTTCAACAGCCATCGTTGAGTCACCACACACACACACACACAGGCTGTTATATCACAGATTGAAATGCTGCCTCTGAGTAAAGGCAGGAGGAGTTAGCTCTCTAATACATGACTGTGTGCCTAAACTGCACAGTTCACCTTAAAGTTCAGTGTTTATGTTGTGTGTGTGATGATGTTTGGTTTAAAACACACTTGAATGACTCCCTGGGCCCTTGTGTGTTGCAGGGGTGGGGAGAATAAGCAGCGCCCCCACGGGACGCCTGTCAGCTCACCTTTCACCCCTCCTCCAGAGGGAAATCAATCAATAAACCCGATCAATGACAAATCTATAACTCGCTGCCATGTTGTGACAGATATCCCTCGGACAACAAGCCTCTAGGTAGGACGGGCTGCTGTGGGCCGTGGACAGAAACAATGACAGGCTGAAGCAGTCTTTATCAAAGGAAGCTGTCCGTTAAAGGAATATGGCGAGATTTTATGGGGACTGATCTAAATATTAAGTAAAACAAAACACAATTCATGTTTTCTTTTGTTTACAGCTATGTGTGTGATATTTACAAAATTAAACAACTCTGAAAACAATCTGTGTCATCTACGAGTTGCTTTCAGCCCGTTAATCTCATTGTCCCACTGGTTAGATTTGTGGGAAAACACTGCTGTCCACCACAGGTTCACCCCTGACACGACCACAAGATGGCACCAATGTCAAAAACTGTTCTAATCCTGTCCTGTTGAGACCCTGTGTCCTCATATGAGGACATCACATTTTGGGTTTACTTGACCTCATTCTTCATTCTACTTACCTCAGACCTGTTGTCCTCATTCGTTGGCACTTTTTGTGCCATCTAGTGGTAGTAAGACCACAGTACACTAATCCATGTGAAAACAAGATGGCCGCCATCTCTGCCAAGTCAGTCTGTGGCCGATTCTGACACTAAAGGGGACAAAATCTGATCAAATGTTATGGTTGAAAGTTGTTTATTTGTGATTAATAATGTTTGTAGTTTGATATGGCAACAATTTTAGCAACAGTAACAAGATAAGACACTGTTAATTATAAAGTACTCATTTGAGGTCATTGGGACTTAATAATGTTGAATTTTTTATACTCCTACTGATCCCAAATAGTATGGAGAAATAAAAATATGCATACCAAACAAAAGTTGGGGTCTCAGGAGGCTATACAAAGTGACCTTAACCAAACACTTACACCAACAATATGTTCATCTCTCAATACTTTCTGACTGAAAGGAGGAAACATTTGTTGGGGGACTATTTTCAGCAGCAGATTAGTCCACATGTGGTGCTCTGGTGAGTCACTCAGTGCAACAGTGTGGCTCAGTGATGTGTTTTAATAGTTCATGGACAACATCAGGGCTCTATGGTACAATAGATTAAGATATAGCAGGCTTTGATAAACACATAATTCATTAATGGTTAAGGTCGTTTTGTGAGTTTTTGGCAACAATAAGAAAAATATAGAATACATCCAGCCTCTAACAGGAAGTTCCAAGGAGAGGGAATACTTTTTATACTTTTTAAAGGTGTTGTTTGAATGAAGGAGTGCCAGTAGAATCCATGTTTGGTGTTGGGTTGGACTGGTATTGTTAATAAGAGCACATGGTGACAGGGCTGTGTATAAAATGATGTGAATCAAAGTTTGGTGTCGGAGTTATGGGCTTTGATTGCTGTTGGGTTTGCCATCTAATTAGCACAGACACAATTAGCTGTACAGAAATTGTTGAAATCCAGAGGCAAACAACAGACAATGCTCCATCCATGTTTAACCTCATTAGTAGCCTCCGTCAATCAAAGGGTGGAGCAGTGTATGCAACAAAGTCTGTGTCAGCACCAGGGACAGCTCCACTGACAAAGCAAACGCTTCCTTTGTGACATTTGGGCAAAGTCATGGCTAACGTTTAAATATTTACGTTATAAATCAGACGCATTTGGGGAAGGTGCTGTTGTTGATACACGCCCAAGGCCACTGACATTCCTTTGAAAGATTTAGCTTGGTTATTGATCCATCACCAATTAGCAGCGCAAACCTTTGGGATATCACCCACTGTCATCACGTCAATCAGTGAGCTCCTCTCATATTTATAACAAGATTTAAATGTATAAAAAGTACATCGTATATGCTGTAGTTCAGAGCTGCAGTGATTAATCGGTTTATCAGTTAGTTTTCAGCTTTTAAATTAATTGCAATCTAATTTGCTAATTGATCAATCGATTTGAGGCGATTTTTTTTAAGACAAAAAGAGTCAAAATTCTTTGATTCAAGCTTTTAAATGTGAATATTTTCTTGTTTCTGTCTTCCTTTGTGAGAGTAAACTGAATATCTTTGGGTTGTGGATGAAACACGACATTTGAGGATGTCATCTTGGGCTTTAGGAAACATTTTCTGTCACTTTATAGAGCAAACAACTCAAGAATTAACTGAGAAAATAATTCACAGATCAATCAACAATGAAAATAATCATTACTTACAGCCCTATTGTAGATACAGACCATGGATGGATCACTATACGGGCCTACAGGGCCCAAGGTGTCACGGACCCATTCTAACGGATTGACTGTGCCTGTTTATACATACATTATTGGCAACTTATTTCTACTATTTTTTCACTTTATGAAATAATGATTTGAAGTCAAAAATGATCTATTTGCCATGTGACATTTCTTAATGCAGGAGCATCCATGTCAAAGCAACACGGGGTCTCTCCTGTGTCATTTATTCTATCCTAAATACAGGGACACCATCTGCAGGTGACACATGGACATGCAGTCCTTCCAGAGATAATAATCTGCTCCCAAAGACTGTTGGAGGACAGTGTTGGAGGACAATGACCAGCCTCGGTGCACACAGCTACACCCACAAGCATGCTGGTAATGAATGCACTATTTTATCTTTTCCACTAGATGTCACCTTAAGCATGGTTTCTCTGAGACCACCCAGGACCACATTAATATCACACCATTCATGTGTCATCCAAAGGAGGATGTATGCACTGTGTACAAGAGCAAACACAGTAGCAGATGGAAACATTCTGTTAGACCACAACAAAAACACTTTCAGATTAAACGAGGTATCATTCATTTATTTATGATGTTAATTGCTGAGCAGAGCAGACACCATCAGGTAAGAATTCAATTTTGCAGCATTAACAGAGACTCCAGTTATGGATTTGAAACTCTTCAGGTCACAGAGAGTTATTGAAGTTCCCTTAAATTCACAGGAGCATCAGTGAGACAGAGGTATTAACGTTTTCAACAACAAAAAAAACAACAAGCCTGTATGAGGGGTGATTAGTGCTACAGTGCAGACGAAGGGTAACGGAAAGAAAAGCTGCATAAACAAAGAATAAATATTGGTAACACTGTTTTACACGATCTATAATTTCATCATACTTTTCTAAGTACTGAACTAACTATATTATTTGGGTCCTAATTAAAAGGGAAACAGAGACAAAGTTCTAAGATGTGCTGATTTGTATGCTTCCCTGTGGGCAAACTTTTCATTTCTGCAGGTTCAACAAACCTGCTGCAGTGACCAGAAGACCGGGGTACATCAAATAGAAGTGGATCAATTAAACACACCATCACAGTCTTTTATCTATAATTAGTAAAGTGACAAAAATCCCCTCCCGCCCACTGTCAGCACTCCTGGCAAATTTATTCAGTAACAACATTTCTGTTGTTTTAGTTGCTGTTTCTGTACTAAAACTTACGTTTAATACTATGACTCATTCAGCACGTGTATACATGAGTGCTGAGATCACTTTTCCTGTAGGACAACCTATTAATAGTTTCAAGCTCCAGAAAACTTTGTTAAAAACTATCCTGAAAAATATTTAGGATATTAGACCCATGAATTGAAAACCTGGTCTCATTTCCAGGGTATCAAATATGGCAGCCTGGTCAGTCACAGCATAGTAGAAAGAGTGAGAAAGTCCATGTAGGGGTGGTAGATGGGTCAAACATGCATGGGACTTTCACCCAGAAGACTGGTGTTTGTGTCGAAACCACAAGTCAACTTGAGTTTTTGGAGCCTATCCCAGCTGACATTTGGCGAGAGGTCGGGTTCACCCTGGACAGGTCACCAGACTATCACAGGGCTGACACATAGAGACAGAGAACCATTCACACTCACATTCACACCTACAAACAATTTAGAGTCACCAATTACCCTGCATGTCTTTGGACTGTGGGAGGAAGCCGGAGTACCTGGAGGAAACCCACGCTGACACAGAGAACATGCAAACTCTGAGGGAACTTTATTTTGAAAGAAACTGCAGCCTGTAATGAGGGAAAACTGACATATCCAAAACTAATGATAGGACAGTACCGGTGGTGGCTCAGGAGGTAGTGTGGGTGGTCCACCAATCAGTAGATGAGCAGTTCAATCCCCGGCTCCTGTCTGCATGTCAAAGTATTCAGGAGTACCACCATATTGTTCCAATGGCTGTTCCATCAGCATGTGAGTATATTAAAGCTGTGCAGCAGGTGGCATCTTGTACAATTGCCACCTGTGTGTGAAAGGCTGAATGTGACTTGTAGTGTAAACAGTACTTTGAGTGGTTATACAAGTGCAAGCATAGACCCGCTGACCAAGCTGCTGTATTGGGAGTGAAACCATGTTAAAAATGAAGCGATACCACACAATGACATGATTTAGCCATGTCAGTCTCGCCAGTCCATCATAGGCCACACAGAACTTCTTCATAGAGAGAAGAGATGAATCCCAGCTGATCCACCCAAGCTCCACCTCCTGCTCCTTGTGGCACTAACCACCCCTCATACACGTTTCTCCGATCGGGGTTAATCCCACCTCCCTCCTGCTCGCACCACAGAAACAAGTGCTCCATTCTAGCATGAACCTTCAGTAAAATCAGTGTTTCCGTAATGCAGGGCAGCTTCTAGCGACACAGCAGAGAGCTCTCCATCAGAAGCAGCTGTGATCCTTTGTGATGAAGATGGGATGACAGGAGGAGATGAGACGGTGGAACACGGAGGGACCCAGACTGGTTTGTGTCTTCAGTAGAGACATGGGGGAACTGTTGAGCGATGACATCGATTTTTCACTTTCCTCTGGAGGGGCAAAGGATGGAGAAAAATAAAACCCGACGTGCTCATCACTGCTGCGCGAACAGGAGGCGATTTGTTGAAGCATTATAGTGGCGGATGCCTCCAGGTCGTGATGATGGAAGTGAAATCAGATTGCTTTGGTTGTCGTGCGTTTAACAGGCTCGATTATGCGCCAGCCGCTGCAGTGACTGAAGCCTTTTTATTTCACCTGCTCGACGCCAGTTCATGCTGAAATACGATGACTGCATTGATGAGCTGTAGCTGGCACTGAGAAGACCCCGTGTTACTGTGTTTGTCTGCAGCACCACGGACAGCGACAATGACGCGGCTCCGCAGGAAAGCTCTGGTGGCACTCTTCCTCTTCACGCTCTTCATTTTCGGGGCCATGATGGGACTCAGGACGCTCAAGCCCAGCGATGGCTTCTCGGATCTGGCCCCTGGCATGGACTTCATCGGGGACAGATCCGACAGAAGGCGGCTGGATGTCAAAGACGTGGTGGTGTCGCCGGGCCAGTTCCACATGGGCAGCAGTGACACCAAGGTGGTTTTCACAAAATCGGACCGAGACTACAGCATATTTTATGATGTGCACATCTTCTACTACCTGTGGTATGGCTCTCCCAGCATGGACAACAAGTACATCCACTGGGATCATGTGCTGGTGCCACACTGGGACCCAAAGATCGCAGCCAGTCATGCCCAAGGAAGGCACACACCTCCGGATGATATTGCCTCAAGTTTTTACCCTGATCTGGGACCCTACAGCTCCAGGGACCCGACGGTGCTGGAGTCACACATGGCCCAGATAGAGGCGGCTGCAGCAGGTAACTCTAGGCTCTATATGTTTCCCTTGTTATGGTATGCAACAGTGCTAACACTCCTCCAGGGCCGTAGCAAGTCCCCCAACGCTCCCACCCCCATATCTTAAATAGCATAAATAAAGTTCCCCCAGGTCCTCAGACAAAAGCAGAACCAGAAAATCTTCATCTTGAATTTTAAAAGTTCTGCATGCAACACTCAGAGCATGAATATCGCAGCAAACCGATAGCAGAGGATAAAGTCACGCTGCCTATGTGCGTGCTCTAATCTGAGCTCCTCTGTGGTTTGTTGTGGTGAGCTCATCTGGCTACACCTGCATGTGTGTATCCCACTGGCTAGCCCATCGCTACCACTTTGCACTGCAGTCCCCTTACTGCTAACATCAGGGCGACATCATTGCGACAGGTAACACCCACCCTCTGGTTCCCCCAACACTGTTAGCTCTTTCCGTTGCTGTAGATTAGCACTGCTTATGGAGTTAGCACTATCACCTGCTAGCTGCCAGCCACCTCCATGTTGAGAACTGTGTGCAGACAACTCATAACTCAGCTGGAGTAATGGCATCCTGAGATGAGAATAAAGTCACGCTACCTGTGTGTGTTGTAATCCGAGCTTCTCTGTGGTTTGTTGGGGTCAGCCAGTCCAGCTGCATGTGCGTGTTAGTGCATGTATGCAGGCCACTGGCTAGCTCATCGCCGTCACTCTGCACTGCACTCACACGGTGTCGTTATGGAAGTGAAGCGCCGACCCTCTGGTTCCCCCCAGTTAACCCTGTTAGCTCTGTCAGCACTGTTGTTTAGCATTGCGATGTGATGTCAGAGTGACTTCCAAAGAATGTGAGGACCTAATTTATTTTTTAACGCAAACTTCCTGCATGTACTGCAGTCCTCCAATAAAAAAACATTAGCCGTCATTACATTCAAACTTCATGCCAGACTGTACTCAGAGCAGCCTTCTTCCCTATGCTGCGGTGTTGCAGGGGTGCTGGTGTTGTCCTGGTATCCTCCCGGGGTGGCGGACGACCATGGGGAGCCCACCGAGGACCTGGTTCCTGCTGTCATGGACGCCGCCCACAGGCACAGCATCAAGGTAACTGGTGAGACAACCGGTATGTTTTTTCCTTTCTGACGATTTACTGAATGAATGACGTAAATGTTAAAGCTGAGAGCAGCATATCTGTTTGTTTTTACGTGTGTGGAAATTATATTGTGCATATAAGATTTAAAACATATTATTTTTCAGGATTTTGGGGCTCCATCTATTGACCCCTGTTTCATTACTGTCTGTAATCCGTGTGTGTTTTGTGGAGCACTTTATACTCCAGCAGATCAAGGTTATGTAAAAGTGGATGGTGCAACTGTGCTGCCAGTCTAATCATCTGTCATCATCTGAAATATCAAAGTACATGTAACAGACAAATGCCCATATAAAGAGAAGCTCTCGACAGAGGCAAAAGTGAGTGAAATATTACAAAATTGAAGTTAGTTAAATCTTTGGAGGGCGAGGCTCAAGTCCAGTTTACAAACGGGTGAATACAGAGCTAGAGAAACATGAGCTTGATAATGTTATACTAACTGAGTGCAAACAAAAAGGCTCATCATGCCTAATTAATCTACTGGAGTCTATTAAAAAGAACTACATAACATTAGCCCTCAGTTATGTCTGTTATACTATATATACTACATTTGGTGTTTTAAATCTTATGTACTGAGAAGTGTTTTGTGTCAGATCAGCAGTTCTTTTGGACACTTACATTAAACCGCCAGCAGATGGCACTCTTATGTTGTGTTCACACCAGGCATGTATAAAACAATTTGCACAAGTCGCATGTAAAGTCAATAGCTATGTTTCCATCCAAAACTGATTCAAATCATTGGGAAATGCACATTAAAAGAAATACGAATCCTGTGTGTTTCCATTAAATGTACGGATTTTGGTGAAAACTACGAACTTGCGCGATTTTTCCACAGAACCGGAAACAAAACAAGTCTCACATTATTCTTCTTCTACGTTTTCTGGCGGTTGGCAACCAGCTTGTAAATGCATTACCGCCTTCCCGACCCGGAGTGTGGATATCACCATGGAGAGAGGTGCTATTTAGGTATTTTAGTTTGTGCGAATCAGGGGATTTTAATTCGAATTTTTGCATTTCCATCATAATTTAACGATGCAATACTTCTAGATGCGCATCTAAACAGGCTGATGGAAACATGGCTACTGTAAAGATGTGATTAGACGAGTATTGCTGCCCAGTGGTGCAATGGACGTGATGCGAAATATGCGATATACATTAATTAAGCAGCACAAATGAAGTAGGCTAAGTAGCACGATTTTGCGTTAGGCGCTTATTCGCGAGAGTTGAAAATGATAAAATTAAGCGACCAGTTAGCGCCAATCAACATAGCCAATCAACATTGAGATCCTCCGGGGACATATGTCCCTGAGAACGTACTGGCGGAAGTTCATTCATCAATTCAATAATCAATTAGCGAGTCAACACAAAATATTCTCGCATTCAAACTCGCATGTTTGGTGTGAACACATTACACCTATCCTTCCAAAATGGCCGCCTCGCTGTTGATGACAACACACTCTCATTTGCTATTCCAGAGTTAGCTTTGCCAAACAATGAACTTAACTGGCTCATGAGTTCTCACCTGACAACCGCTAAATAACCTGTTGTGTCCAACATTAGCTCGGCTTAATGTTAACCAGGGGTTCATGCTCGTCAGCCAGCTAATCTTTGTTGTAGTCTTTTAAAGCCAGCTAAGCTAACACTACCTAGCTCGTTAAGTCAAGGGTAGTAATAAGAAATACCATAAAAAGATATACAGCATAACATTATAATACTGATATAAAGACATTATAAGCAGGTGCAGTGTGATGGAAATGGTCCTGTTTATTTCCTGGGCTCAAAATTTAAAGGAAGCCAATTTGATTTATAATGTGGAATCCTGCTAAAAACAAGTTATGCGCGGTCGACATTTTGACAGTCCAAGATGGCCGTCATGGAGACTTTTGGTTTTGAGGTTTGTCACACTTGAAACTTTCCAAAAATGTACAGTTTTATACCCAGCCAAGTTTTTTAAACAAATGCAATCAGGACATTGTGAACCTGACTATAGTGTGACGGACCCTTAAAATTCTTTCCACTTGAGAAAAAGTGCGTCATGCCCTTTATGTAGAGCACAGCATGTCTTGCAGCTGCATTGCATTATGGTCCTCTGAGGCTCCTGACAGTGAAGAAATGGTTACCTACCCATGGGGCCCCGGTGGCATCTTCAGTTTCAAAGCTCTGACCTCAAAACCTGACATTTACAGTGACACAGAGGTTGCAGAGAGATTAAAATGTTCTGCTTTCAGACTGGCTGAGCCAATCGCTTTTAAAAGCTGGAGTGCTTTAGGGTAGATTGTCTCTTTAAATGCACCAGTCCATCTCACAAAGTCTTATCTACTCCAGCACTGAGGGGGTCAGATACAATAAAGCCAAAAGATGCTGTAGGTGCTTGATACAGCAATGGCAAAACAAGCCGAGCTCAGACTGTAGATTCAGCATTAAGAGGACAGAAGAGCTTTCCCCCAGTCGACTTTCGTGCTCCTTATATGGAAGTCTTAGACTGAGAACTGGGTCTCTCTGTGTGTCTCAGTCAGACTTACACAACAGTGTGTATCGCACAGCTGACCTGAGGGCTAATGCTCCAGTGTTTCAGTGCACCAGAGCTGCCACTGACAAAATACAGGCTGAAGTCTGTGTTTGTGAGCAGTCATGTGTGTGTGTCCGTGTGTGCGCTTTCTTCACAAATGTCATGTGTGTGTGTGCCCTGCGTGTCATTTGATATAATGCTCATGACACAGAAGGAGTTTCTCTGTCAATATTCTCAAGCAAAATGACGTGTGAAGAGGGATCGTTGTGCCAAATTCCCTCTGAAGCAAACCACTGGTGTCGCAGATATCAGTGGAGGCTGACACATGTGACAGACAGGAGGACAGAGGCTGATCTATAATCCCCTGCAGCGCTCTGTCCTCGCTAATTAAGCATAGATTGACCCTGTTTGTCCAGTGAAATGTTAATTACATGTAAATTAAAACTTTAGTAGAGCAGAAAAGTGTCATGTGCTAATGACAAAAACCTCTTATTATAACAAGGATGCTTGTTTTAATGAGTAATGCATTCTCTTAATAACAGCTGTGTGAGGACACAGATGAGAAAATTTTAATGAACCAATCAAGCAAAAAGTTGCACCAGTCATTGCTTTTATATCAACAGTGAGTCAAATGACTTGAGAGGTGATGTTTTTAGTGACAAACCCACTGAGAATTATCACTCAACTCTGCATTTAAAAGTGTCTGTTGGCTCATTGATTTATTTTCAGGTCCACAAATTACTGTATTGGTTCAGTTTCGTTCAGTTTAAGCTACAACATGCAGCTGTTTGCACTGAAAAAGCACTCTGATACACTGCATGATGTGATTTTGCCAAGTGGGACGTGCTCCTGTGCTTCTTCTGAGCTAGTTTCCCAAACTGAAGGTATTACAATTGAACAAAATCCACGTTAACACTGAACAAAATCCTTATGAGCTGCTGCAGGGTTAGCGAGTTAGCTTGCTATGTTGGTAGGCTGTAAAAATGTGTCAATAGCAGGTATTTGCAAGTGAAAATTTTATCCTTAATCTGTGTTAGTTAACAATAATCTAACCTATTGGCAAGCTTACACGTTAGCATAGCCTACCTACTTCGCAAGCTAACTTGCTAAAATTTTAGCCTATTGGCAAGTTTACTCGTTAGCATAGCCAACAAGCTAACTCGCTAGTCCCACAGTGGCGTATAAGGATTTTGTTTAAGTGTACTAACTTCATTTGGAAAACTAGCTCAGAAGACGCTCAAAGGAATTTTGAAAAAAGCGCAGGTGAAGCACACTGATGATGTCAGAGAGCTGTGATTGGTTGATCGTAATGTTGGTCCAGGAACGCAATGTGGGATGTTGATCCACTTGGTAAAATCACATCGTACCTGATACACTCACTGTACACTACCTGCCCAACACCGAAGGCAAAAAGATGATGTTAGCAACTAGCTGTTGAACGTAACGGAGCATTTAGCAGCTGAGCAGACAGATATTTTTTCTCAAGAGTGGAGACCAAAACAGAGCTAAAAGAGTTTAAATCGGAACTACATCCAGTGGCGCCCCAAGAAATTTTACATAGGGGTGACCTGATGGGGCCACTGAAAATCTTTGGATGTCAAGTATTAGGCGTTTTTTTTGTTCTTTAAATCAACTGGTTGTCCGTGTACATTTATTGTAAGAAGCAAAACATTTCCTGGGAACAAGCCTTCGCAAGTTTAGGGGAGGACACAACCGCATCTGGATATACATATTAACTGGATGTTTTCCCTTTATCCTTTATGGTTGTCTTGTTCCTGCGTACTCTCTTCCGTGATGTGTCTGATAATCATACATGGATGATATGTATTGCTGTGTGCTTCTGTGTAATTAACTCCTGACTATGTTGAATTTAGACGTCAAGATCCCTCTTCCGTGTGTGTGTTTGTTTTGGGTCGAGATTTTTGTTGGGGTTTGTATGTTCATGTTGACATACATTATCATCAATAAAATTAATATTTAAAAAAGTATAGGGGAGACTCATGGGTACTCATAGAGACCATTTTTATTCAGATACTTTGAGGTGAGAGTTTTAAGGACCTCTTTGAAAATGGCCATGCCAGTTGTTCCCTCACCAAAATTTAACCCAACTCTGAAGCAATATTTAGCCCCTTTCCAAATAGCTAAAATGACACGGGTGGTGCCAGTGGCCTCGGTCACTGCGTACTTTCATCAGGTGACCAGAAACATGATTCGATGACATGATTACTAATGTTGCTCTGACTCTGCTGGATGTGTAAACCAGTTTTTCAAATGTGTGGCCTAAAACAAAATCTTGAACGCAGCTTTAAAGAGATTAAACACGATATAGGTGGGGAATTCTGTCAGTTGAAACTGGAGTTATATCCTCTCCTAGTTTGAAAACATAAATTGATACCAAGCATGTAGAGGCAGTCAGTGCAAATGCCACATTTTCATATCAAACTG